CCAAACTGCAACAAAAAATAGCCAGGTGTTATGGCGGGTGCCTGTATTACCAGCTACTTGGGAGGCTAAGGCAAGAGAATCGCCTAAGCCCAAGAGCTGGAGGTTGCTGTGAGCTGTGTGTTTTCCCTGGGAAAACAAGGCAGGAAGATCATTTGAGCTCAGGAGTTCAAGACCAAACTGAGCAAGAGCAAGAACTCATCTCCACTAAAAGCAGAAAAATTAGGCCAGTGCAGTGGCTCAGCCCTGTAAACCTAGCATTCTGGGAGGCCAAGGCAGCGGATAACCTGAACTCACAGGCTCAAGACCAGCCTGAGCAAGTCAAAGTACTCTACTGAGGGCTACAAAGTACTCTGTCTCTGAAAAAAAAAAAAAAGCCAAGCTGGATAGACAGAACATTCAGAGGGTATGCTGGGGAGAACTGAAGAGAAAACAGAATACTTGACATAGTCTTAAGTAGCAGAAGGCAGTTAGAGAAAGGAAAATATTGGCCTTGTCACATACAGATTTCAAAATACATCTCATGAGAATCCAAATAATTTCATAATATAAGGGAAGATTTTATTTGCCTTTCAGAGGAAATTAGTATCTGTGCACATCTTGTAAGATGAAATGAAAGTTCACAGTGTTCAGAATCAGTACTTGAACTGCTGTGTTTTAAACCGTGAGCAGTGATTGTATTTGTCTGGTTCTTTCTAGAGCTGAAAATGTAAATACTTGCTGAATTATTCATGAATGAAACACCAATTTTTATCTTAGGATGTTTCAGTATCTTCCCTATCATAAGTCCTAGGTTCATTGGGGAAAATAATCACAAAAAATTTCAACAGAATCAGCATCTTAGGAGTGCCATTCTTTATAAAATTACCAATAAATTTAAAAAATGAACAGTAGAATTCTGAATTATCAAAGGAAATATATCTTTGCTGAGGTAAAAATAAAGAAGTATATTACTCTGCTGATGTTTGAGAAAGTTTTTGTTTTTGGGTTTTTGCTTTTAGACAGAGTCTTACTCTGTCACCTAGGTTAGAGTGCCTTGGCCTCAGCCTAGTTCTTAGTAACCTCAAACTCTTGGGCTCCAGCTATCTTCCTGCTTCAGCCTCCTAAGTAGCTAAAACTATAGATGTCTATAGAGTGCTATTGCATCATAGCTCACAGCAACCCCAAACTCTAGGGCTCAAGTGATTCTCTTGCCTTAGCCTTCCAAGTAGCTGGGACTACAGGTGCCCACTACAACGCCCAGCTATTTTTAAAGATAGGGTCTTCCTCTTGCTCAGGCTGGTCTTGAGCCTGTGAGTTCAGGTTATCCGCTGCCTTGGCCTCCCAGAATGCTAGGTTTACAGGGCTGAGCCACTGCACTGGCCTAATTTTTCTGCTTTTAGTGGAGATGAGTTCTTGCTCTTGCTCAATTTGGTCTTGAACTCCTGAGCTCAAATGATCTTCCTGCCTTGTTTCCCCAGGGAACAACCAAACTCAGCTGAAAGTTTTTATTTTTGTAAACAAAATCTAACATTCAAAGGTCCCATTCCTTACAAAATTAAGCCTCTGTTAACCAAACATTTATAAATACATATTCCCTGAATTTTTGGTTTTGTTTAGATTTTCCTGCATTCTGATTCTAGCACAAAAGTCTGCCTACTATGTTGTATAAATAAGTTTATGGTGTTCTGTACCCTGAAAGTGATTTAATATTTGTGTTCTTCAGTTTTGGAAATTATATGTACTGAGATCATAAAAAAACATTTTATAAACAACTAGACATTTTGTTATTATTATTATTATTATTATTATTATTTTTTTTTTTTTTTGAGACAGAGCCTCAAGCTGTCCCCCTGGGCAGAGTGCCGTGGCATTACAGCTCACAGCAACCTCCAACTCCTGGGCTCAAGCGAGTCTCTTGCCTCTACCTCCCAAGTAGCTGGGACCACAGGCGCCCACCACAGCGCCCAGCTATTTTTGGGTTGCAGCCATCATTGTTTGGCGGGTCCGGGCTGGGGATTCGAACCCGCCACCTTAGGTGTACGTGGCTGGCGCCTTAACCGGTTGAGCTATAGGCGCCGAGCCGACATTTTGTTATTAAATGTGATTGTAATTTCCTTGTGTTGAATGTTTTGAAGTATTATATTTAGTTTAAATGCATTATTGGTCCATAATTAATATCTTAAGAAAATAAATTTTATTACACTATCAAAATAAATAAATACTAAAAAAAGAGCATTTGGGGCTGGGTGTGGTGGCTCACACCTGTAATCTTAGCACTCTGGGAGGCTGAGGCAGGTGGATTGCTTGAGCTCAGGAGTTCGAGACCCCATCTCTAAAAATAGCTGAGTGTTGTGGAGGGCACCTATAATCCCAGCTGCTTGGGAGGCTGAGGCAAGAAGATTACTTGAGCCCAAGATTTTGAGATTGCTATGAGCTATGGTGATGCCATCACACTCAATCACAGGGTGACTGAGTGAGATTCTATCGCAAAAACAAACACGCTGGTGCAGTGGCTTACTCCTTTAATCCTAGCACTTGGGATTTCCTGAGCTCACAAGTTTGAGACCAACTTGAGCAAGAGCAAGACCTTGTCTCTAATAAATAGCCAGGTGTTGTGGTGGATGCCTGTAGTCTGAGCTACCCGGGCATCTGAGAGAAGAGAATCGCTTGAGCTTAACAGTTTGAGGTTACTGTGAACTAAGATGCCATAGCATTCTACTGAGGGTGACAAAGTAAGACTATGTCTCAAAAACAAACACACACAAAATTTTGAGAAAAATAGTAACTGATCCTGGAATATGTTTCTGTTAAGATCCAGAACCAATATCCACAAGGCTTAGGAAAAATGCCTGTTTCAAAAGTGAAGAGAATGTAAACCTAAGAATTGCAAGTTGCTGTGAGCTGTGACTTCATAGCTCTCTACCAAGGGTGACAGACTAACACTGTCAAAAACAAAACAAACAAAAAACCCAGAAGAGAATGCTAATTTGTTTCTTTAACTTTAGTGGCGTTATTCATGTTCAATTTATACCACAAAAGCAGAGAACTGATCAGATTGTTTTATGCACAAATACAAAAATCACTGGAAAATGTTAAATCCTTTTTTAAAAAGGAACTCTGACTTTGATTTGCTTCTCAACTGTGGCAGTGCTTTGGATTGCTGCTGACTTCTGTTGCACAGTTTTGTTTCTTTTTTTTTTTTTTTTTTGAGACAGAGTCACTTCATTGCTCTTGGTAGAGGGCCATGGGTTCACAGCTCACAGCAACCTCCAGCTCCTGGGCTTAGGCAATTCTCTTGCCTCAGCCTCCTGAGTAGCTGGGACTACAGGTGCCCACAACACCCAGCTATTTTTTTGTTGCAGTTTGGCCGGGGCTGGCTTTAAACCTGCCACCCTCGGTATCTGGGGCCGGGGCCCACGCATACTCACTGAGCTACAGGCGCCGCCCATGTCACACGGTTTTTGATAAAAGATATGATTTAATGTACTCGCTAGACATTACAAATGATTTTTCTCTGTAAATATGTTTTTTAAATCCTCTACAAAAAAATTGGATTTGCCATTATCAGTGACTTTCAAAAGAATGTAATGAACTAGGGCTCCTTGGAGAAATGGCTGATTCTAGGGCTGGGACAGGTAAAATACAAGATGAACTAGGAGTATCTTGTAGTGTTAGGAGGTAAGGAAGTACTCAGAAAACAAAGGGAAGGTAACAGGGTGCTGTGGCTCACACCTATAATCCTATTACTCTGGGAGGTAGAAGGACTGCAAGACCAGCCAGAGCAAAAGTGAAATCCCATCTCTCCTAAAATTAGAAACACCAGCCACGAGGTTGGTTTTGTGGCATGCACCTGTAGTCCCAGCTACCCAGGAGGCTGAGGCAAGAAGGCTTGAGCCCAAGAGTTTGAGGTTGCTGTGAGCTATGATGATCCCACAAGACTCAGCCCCAGGGTGACAGAGGGAGATTTTGTCTCAAAAGACAAAACATAACAAAACAAAACAATGGGAAAGAGCATTTCAAAGGGACGGAGGAGGTACCAGCCTGAAAGAGTTCCCAGTGGCCAAAGCTGGAACAATTTGAGCCACAAAATAAATAACACAGTACTGGATTATAACAGTATAAATATCTGAGTCTGTATTGATACAAATAAGTGATCAAGTAAAATGAGAAAAAGACACGTCTTTCTTAAGGAATGTCAAATAATATATGTAAATACTCCCTCTTCTAGGAAGTGATTCTCACTGTCCTACCCATATACCATAAGGGTGGGCTAGACTTAACTACTAACTTCCAAAGACCGGAGAAAGGGAAGTAGGAGCTTTACATTGGAGAAACCTGGTAAAGTCTACCTTAACCAAGTGCTGTGGGTTAATATAAGTGATATGTGGCTGTCATGTACTGGTGTGGCATTCTTTATAAAAATCCATAACCTCAGACTAATCATGGTGAAAACAACAAACTCAGACTGGGGGACATTTAATAGAAAGTAAGAAGTGTTCTCATATTGGAAGAGTCAAGTAAGATAACCTAATAACAAATTATTTCCTAGTGGGCGTTAATTATATTATTACTCAGAATTTATCTTTTTTTTTTTTTTTGAGACAGAGTCTCAAGCTGTCATCCTGGGTAGAGTGCTGTGGTGTCACAGCTCACAGCAACCTCAAACTCTTGGGCTTAAGAGATTCTCTTGCCTAAGCCTCCCAAATAGCTGGGACTACAGGCACCTGCCACAACGCCTGGCTATTTTTTGGTTGAAGTTGTCATTTGGCAACTATAATCCAGGCCGGATTTGAACCCACCAGCTCCAGTGTATGTGGCCGGTGCCCTAGCTGCTTGAGCTATAGGCATCAAGTCAGAATTTATCTTTTTACTAAACAAAGGCCTTCCAGTAGACAAAGGAGAGTGAATGAATGCTTTTGTTTCTACTTTTTCCTAAAAATCTACTAATCTAACAGTGAGTTATGAGTGCTGTTGTTATAGATTCTATAAAGTAATGGAATCTTTTTGGTGTAATTTTACAGGATGATTTTTCAGGATTGTCACCATATGAAAGGAAGAGACTGAAGAACATTTCAGAAAATGCAAACTTTTTTGCTTCTCTTCAGCTATCTGAGGTTTGTGTGGAGTTTAATTAAAACCAAGATGCCATTCTTCCTACTAGTTCAATAACAAAATACAGCATCAGGTATTATAGTCAGATGAAGGAGGACAAAGTTAGGAGTAGGTTTTGCAGTGAATAGAAAGAGGTTATTTTCCATTTCTCCTAAGGCATATTTTTTTACATTTTAATATTTTCAAATAGGCATCTTAAAACTATAACTGGTAGCCCCTCCCCCCCTTTTTGGTGGTGCCTAAAACAATGGTGTCTTACAGTTTGGTGTTCTTGAATAACTAAAGATGTAGGAGAAGTGGGTGGGATGGGATGAAGGATAGAGGAAGAGGAATGTGAGGACTTTTTTTTTTTTTGGAGACAGTCTCATGTTGTTGCCATTGGTAGCGTGCTGTGGCATCAAAGCTCACAGCAATCTAAAACTCTTGGGCTCGTGATTCTCTTGCCTCAGCCTCCCAAGTAGCTGAGACAACAGATGCCTGCCACTATACCCACTATTTTTAGAGGTGGGGTCTTGCTGTGTCTCAGGCTGGTCTCGAACCTGTGAGCTTAGGCAATCCACCCACCTTGGCCTCCCAGAGTGCTGGGATTACAGGCGTGAACCACTCCACCCAGCCCAACATGTTCTTTTCCTTTTAAAGCTTACTCTTGAAGAGTAGATGGGAATATGCTTTGTATAAGGAGCTTTAAGGTTAAATGGCCATAGCTGGATGTGGTGCTTTAGGCCTGAGACTCAAGGACACTTGAGGCCAGCAATGCTACACCAATCTGGACAGCATAGCAGTAACCTATTTCTTAAGGGATAAATGGCCGTATGTATATATGCTAATGTATTACAATCATTAGGATTAAAGGTATAATTTACATTGGTGCCTTCACATTGGAGGTAACACTTCTGGGTGTGAAAGAATAGTTGGATGATGTCATCCCTGCCCCCAGGATATCAAACGTTTGGCTTTATAAAATAGTTAATTGATTTCTCTTAAAACCAGATTACCAAATGTTCAATGTGTGTTTGCATCTTGTGGGGAATGAGTTAAGTGAAGGGACTAAGTTGGTTGAGTCATTAACAGTTGAAAATCTATCGGAAATTTAGACAAAGAATTTCTAATTACAATTTTAGTTAACAGAAAATATTTGATTTGATTTATAGAAGTATAAACTATAAATTTTCTGGAAAACATCGCAGTAGATCTGCCAGTAGTAGAAGTTAAACCTTTTACTTTATAATATATTTGATTAAATACTTTATCTAATCATGTAAACTCATTAGCAACTTGGTTCAAGGTATTACAAACTTGATACATTAGACAGTATTAGATACTTGCCTTTATTGTTGGTAGCATATTTGTCTGAAGAGCAGAGATCCTCTCTTATGGATCTTTAGTTCCTGAATAGACCTTAGTTTGGTGTTGTTATAGTAACAGATGCTTAATATTTTAAAAGGTAAACTATGTAGTTACAACATTTTTATGTGTGTGTATGTTTTATGTACTTTCCAGTCAGCTGCAAGGCTTCGTGAAATGATAAAGAAAAGGCAGCCTCCTGAATCTAAGAGGTAAAATACTTGGTTTATAATGCTTGGACCATAATATGCTTCTGAGTTGTTTTATAATTTGGAAAACAGTGGTTTGGTGTAGGCTGGGCCTGGTGGTGTATGCCTGTAATCCTAACACTTTGGGTGGCTAAGGTGGGTGGATTGCCTGAACTCACAAATTTGAGTCCTGCCTGAGCCAGAGTGAGACCTCATCTCTAAAAAATAGCCAGGCATTGTGGCAGGTGCCTGTAGTCCCAGCTACTTAGGAGGCTGAAGGCTGAGGCAAGAGAATTGCTTGAGCCCAAGAGTTTGAGGTTGCTGTGAGCTGTGATGCCATGACATTCTACTGAGGGCAACAAAGTTAGACTCTGTCTCCAAAAAAAAAAAAAAAAAGGTTTGGTGTAGTAAGCTTTTTATTTTT